AGAGAGAGAGAGAGAGAGAGAGAGAGAGAGAGAGAGAGAGAGAGAGAGAGAGAGAGAGAGAGAGAGAGAGAGAGAGAGAGAGAGAGAGAGAGAGAGAGAGAGAGAGAGAGAGAGCGAGAGAGAGAGAGAGAGAGAGAGAGAGAGAGAGAGAGAGAGAGAGAGAGAGAGAGAGAGAGAGAGAGAGAGATGAGCACACCACAGCGACCACTGATTCGACCCCAAAGGTGACGCGGCCGCTGATGAAGCCGCTGTTTGTCGCCCACCACTGAAGATACTCGGAGGCCGTCGTGAAGTACTGCATGCCCAAGGTGCCTTGATTGGCGATATTCAAGTTGCTCGGATCAACAAACGTGGCGAGAAAGCCGTTGAGAAAGCTAGGGTTTTGGGTCCCCATGAAAAGGAGGAAGTTTCCGGTCGAGGCAAGCACACCCTCGATGTTGGCCAGCTCAGCTGGCGTGTTGCTTGGCAAGCCAAACATCGTCGTGCAGCCCGTGAATCCAAGAGGCGGCACCGGGGAGAACTGGCACGGCGCAGCGGGGAGCGGCGGCGGCTCCGGTGGCACGAAGCCGTCAGCTAGCCATGCTTGGAAGCCGGTGTAGTTGCGGTACTTGGCGGTTGGTCCGTCCAAGAAGATCTCTTGCGACACAGCCTTGCCGCTTCCCAATGGGTCAAAGTGGTAGACGTACACAACAGGGCTGTAGAGCCCCCACGCAGATGCGAAGGCGGCCGTGACAAATACCACATCGTCCTTGGCGTCGATCACAATGTCCTGGTGAGCGATGGGCCTGTGCAGGTGGCGACGGCTCGGTGTGGAGGATTGCATTCAATGCGACTAGACGCGTTCTCTCTCATGGCGGCAGCGACAGCGCGCGGCACGCAAATGTGATTACGTGTGGGGTCGGCGCCAGGCTGGGAGCGAGTGAAGGCGCACCGACGCCAAATGCATCCAAGGCACCGCGTACTGCTCTGACGTTTGCGCACTCGCCGCAGCCGTTGCAGCCCGCCCACTCGCACTTCTCCTCCATCGGCTGTGTCCGGTAGGCGCAGTACGTCTTGCACTGTGCGGGCGGGGAAGGAGGCGGAACCGAGCACTCCGTGCAGCCTCCGCACCCTGCCCACTCGCACCTCTCCTCCCAGGGCTGGGTCGCGAATGGGCAGTGCGGCATGCACGGCAGGCAGGGCACGCAGGTGTCGCATCCGGCCCAGCCGCACTTCTCCTCCATCGGATGGGTCCGGTAGGGGCAGTACGTCTTGCACTCGGCGAGGGCCGTTGGGAGGTAGACGGCGAGGAGGCTGAGAGCCCGGAGCGGCGACATATGTGCGACAGGCCAGGACTCGGTGCTTCTCGATGATAGCTTATACTTCGCCGAGTCGGTTTCAATTCCGATATGCCATTTGGAAAAGGTAGCCCGCCGCGCGGTAGTCTTTGTTGCCTCACGCACTATTTAAGAGGAATCCATTTCCGATATGCCAGTTGGAAAAGGTAGCCCGCGCGCGGGGCGCGCAGTAGTCTTTTTGATTGATGGGAAGGCGAAACACAGTCCGACCAACGACTGGGACACCAACGCGGTATGGGTGGACGCAGGACGGGCGGTGACGGTCACACAGGAGCGACACACAAAACCACAAGACAAGACACTCAGCCAACGTGGCTGCCACACATCCTGAGCGTACTTCCCTAGTCTTTGTTGCCTCACGCACTATTTAAGAGGAATCCAAGTTTAGGTCAGCCGTTTCCGCGAAAATTGGGCAAGTTTTCATATTTTTTGTGTTTTGTGGTTTTCATAGAACAGAGACCGGCAGAGCGGTTCTTACTTCTTTTCCCGCACGAACTGGCTCTGGGGCTGCAGCTACTATTTTGATTTTGTCGTATTCCGTGTCTCGTATGTACCTTGAGGTACGTACTGGGGGGGCGAGCGGCAAGATCGAGGGGGGCGTAAGCTGCGCGGCTCCGCCTCCGGCGCCGCGCTCCGCTGCTCAAAGCTATAAGCTTGGTTGCTTGTGGCCAAACCCCCGCGGCTATAAAGGCGCGAGCAGTGGTCGAACGCGCACGCACCGTCCAACGCACGCGGGACACCTCAGTACGGGTTGGCTCTGCGGGGGGCGCCGCTCCCGCCCCTCGCGGGCGCACCGCCCGCCCTCGCGGCGGGCGGCTTGGCGCTCTTGCGGCTGGTCGAGGCCAGGGGTGTCGCGTCGGAACCGGCCGCCGCGTCGGTGTCGGGGCTCCACGAGCAGAGCCTGGCATCCTCCCCGCCGCTGAGTAGCCCGCCTGTCCACAGCTACGCGCCGTGAAGAGGCGCCGTTCACAGCCCCGGGCTGACTCCCCGCCACCCCCCGCGGGGCAGGCCCTGGCGAGTAGAGACCACGCCTCACTTTTTCACAGGGGGGGATTGCTTTTCGCTGCGCATGCTCGAGCCCCCGGCGAGGGCTTGTGCTGTGAATAGCAGGTGTGGTCTCTACTCGCCAGGGGCAGCCCGCCTCCGTCCCAGAGGAAGCAGCGCACGTCCGAGGTGTGGCCTCGCGCCGCGCCGCCTGTCGGCAGGAACACACGCTTTGGCGCCCACAGCTCTGCGCCGCACCACTACACTGGGGTGTACTGGCGGCGGTACTCCTTCACCACCATGGTAGGCCAGGGTGGTAGGCCAGGGCTGGCTATGGTAGGCCAGGGCTGGCTATGGTAGGCCAGGGCTGGCTATGGTAGGCCAGGGCTGGCTATGGTAGGCCAGGGCTGGCTATGGTAGGCCAGGGCTGGCTATGGTAGGCCAGGGCTGGCTATGGTAGGCCAGGGCTGGCTATGGTAGGCCAGGGCTGGCTATGGTAGGCCAGGGCTGGCTATGGTAGGCCAGGGCTGGCTGTGACTTCTCAGCAGGTTGAGGCCGACGTGGCGCCCTCAGCCTCGAGACGGACCTCGGGCGATCTCGGGCGATCTCGGGCGATCTCGGGTACTCACGGGCAACCTCGGGCGATCTCGGGCGATCTCGGGTGATCTCGGGTGATCTCGGGCAACCTCGGGCGATCTCGGGCGATCTCGGGTGATCTCGGGTGATCACGGGTGATCTCCGGTGATCTCGAGTGATCTCTCGGGCGATCTCGGGCGATCTCGCCGCCGCCGCCGCGAAGAGACGCGAGCGCAACCACCGCCTCCTTTTCGACCGCCAGCAAGTGCAGCGTGCCTGTTCACAGCCTGAGGTGTGAAGAGACGCCGTTCACACCGAGAGCGTCTCCAGCGACGAGAGCACGCGCCTGTTCACAGCTTGAGGTGTGAAGAGACGCCGTTCACACCGAGAGCGTCTCCAGCGACGAGAGCACGCGCCTGTTCACAGCTTGAGGTGTGAAGAGACGCCGTTCACACCGAGAGCCCCGCCTCGACCGCCAGCAAGTGCAGCGTGCCTGTTCACAGCCTGAGGTGTGAAGAGACGCCGATCACACCGAGAGCCCCGCCTCGACCGCCAGCAAGTGCAGCGTGCCTGTTCACAGCCTGAGGTGTGAAGAGACGCCGTTCACACCGAGAGCCCCGCCTCGACCGCCAGCAAGTGCAGCGTGCCTGTTCACAGCCTGAGGTGTGAAGAGACGCCGTTCACACCGAGAGCTCCGCCTCGACCGCCAGCAAGTGCAGCGTGCCTACGCAAGCACGCAAAGACGAACTCGGTCGGCGCAAACACCAGAAGTGCAGCGCCGGCGGGTGCAGCGCGCGCCGCAGTGCTCGCCCGCGACCAGGTAGAGCCGCTGCGTGGCGGGGCAGTACTGGCAGCCGACGAGGTAGTCGATGCCGTCGCCTGGGGAGAGATGCGGGAGAGATGGGGAGAGATGGGGAGAGGTGTGGGGGAGATATGGGGAGAGATGGGGAGAGATGAGGGAGAGATGGGGAGAGACGGGGAGAGATGGGGAGAGATGGGGAGAGATGGGGAGAGATGGGGAGAGATGGGGAGAGATGGGGAGAGATGGGGAGAGATGGGGAGAGATGAGGGAGAGATGGGGAGAGATGGGGAGAGATGGGGAGAGATGGGGAGAGATGGGGAGAGATGAGGGAGAGATGGGGAGAGGTGTGGGGGAGAGATGGGGAGGTGTGGGGGAGATATGGGGGAGATATGGGGGAGATATGGGGGAGACATGGGGAGGCAGTCGATGCCGTCCCCGGCGCCTAACCCAGCGGCACGTAAAAAAGAAAAGACGGCGCGGCAAGGTAGTTCGATGCGCGTGAAGAAGAGCGGCGGGTAAAGAAAAGGCGGTGGCAAGGACGTTGGGAGCGCGACGCCCACAAGAGCCAGCTTGTGGTGATGTTGGGGAGAACTCGGGAGGTGCGGGGAGATGTTGGGGAGATGTTGGGGAGAACTCGGGAGGAGCGGGGAGATGTTGGGGAGATGTTGGGGAGAACTTCGGAGGTGCGGGGAGATGTTGGGGAGATGTTGGGGAGATGTTGGAGGATGTGGGGAGATGTTGGGGAGATGTTGGAGGATGTGGGGAGATGTTGGGGGAGATGTTGGGGAGATGTTGGGGAGACGTTGGGGAGATGTTGGGGAGACATTGGGGGAGATGATGGGATTGGCTCGCCGGCGCCAGCCGCAGCCTCCTCCTCGCCGAGCATGTCCACCTCCCTCCGCAGCGCGTCGTGCCTGCACGCGGAACAAAACAGAAGTGCGTGCGGCGTGCGCCAACCTTGGGGCGGGAAGACGGCAATGTGCTCTTGAGTGCGCTGTCGTCGCAGGTCTCGTGTGAACTCCCGGGACCCAGCGCTGGCTTCTGACTGCCGTCGCTGTCTCTCCCTTCTCGACCTGTCTTGTGTGCTTGTGCGTCTTGGGTCCGAGGTTGTGTGTTTGTGTGAATACGAGGGGTGGCGGCGAATACAGCGAATCCAGCCGAGGGCGGCCGAGTACAGCGAAGTCCGTGTCCTCTCGAGCGCTGGTGGGGAGACACACGCACGCACTCCGCTTCTAGGCTCCGCGCTGCCAGGTGTGGGGGAGATACGGGGGAGATACGGGGGGAGATACGGGGGAGATACGGGGGGAGATACGGGGGGAGATATGGGGAGATATGGGGAGATCTTCCGCTTCTAGGCGCCCGCACTGCCAGATATGGGCGAGATACGGGGGGAGATATGGGGAGATCGTCCGCTTCTAGGCGCCCGCACTGCCAGATATGGGGGAGATACGGGGGGAGATCTGGGGAGATCGTCCGCTTCTAGGCGCAACATGCCGCGCCAGGCAAGTGCCCGCCTGCTGCTGCAGGTCCCAGACCGACAGGGTCTCCAGCGACGAGAGCACGTGCCTGTTCACAGCTTGAGGTGTGAAGAGACGCCGTTCACACCGAGAGCGTCTCCAGCGACGAGAGCACGTGCCTGTTCACAGCTTGAGGTGTGAAGAGACGCCGTTCACACCGAGAGCGTCTCCAGCGACGAGAGCACGTGCCTGTTCACAGCTTGAGGTGTGAAGAGACGCCGTTCACACCGAGAGCGTCTCCAGCGACGAGAGCACGTGCCTGTTCACAGCTTGAGGTGTGAAGAGACGCCGTTCACACCGAGAGCGTCTCCAGCGACGAGAGCACGTGCCTGTTCACAGCTTGAGGTGTGAAGAGACGCCGTTCACACCGAGAGCGTCTCCAGCGACGAGAGCACGTGCCTGTTCACAGCTTGAGGTGTGAAGAGACGCCGTTCACACCGAGAGCGTCTCCAGCGACGAGAGCACGTGCCTGTTCACAGCTTGAGGTGTGAAGAGACGCCGTTCACACCGAGAGCGTCTCCAGCGACGAGAGCACGTGCCTGTTCACAGCTTGAGGTGTGAAGAGACGCCGTTCACACCGAGAGCGTCTCCAGCGACGAAAGCACGCGCAAGTGCGACGCCGGCTCGGGGCCGAAAAAGCCGAGGGACGAGACGGGCCGCCCCTATTACTTTCATCACTATTATTCCTATTATTAATTCTTTTTTACTTTGATTACTTTTATTATTATTGCTCCTCTTCTTCTTATTCGCCAGCGGTGCCAGCCATGAGTGAGTTGAAGTGGCTGGCAAGTGAACTGAGCTGCCCGCCTTTGTTGCTTGGGGAGATATGGAGAGATATGGGGAGATAAGGGGAGAGAACGGAAGAGACCATCGAACTGGTTCGGAGATATGGGGAGATATGGGGAGATATGGGGAGATACGGGGAGATATGGGGAGATATGGGGAGATACGGGGAGATACGGGGAGATATGGGGAGATACGGGGAGATATGGGGAGATATGGGGAGATACGGGGAGATACGGGGAGATATGGGGAGATACGGGGAGATATGGGGAGATATGGGGGAGATATGGCGAGATCAGACCGATCCCGAGACGAGCGCGGTCGCCGAGCCAGGCTGGAACCGGACCGCGCTCACCTAGTTAGCTCTTAATTCACTCTCAATTCGCTGCGAATTCGCTGTTCATTAGCTGTGGAACCGGACCGCGCTCACCGCCTCGGTGTGCACCTCGAGCCTCGCCGCCTGTCCACGGAAGAAAAATGACAAGCTGCCGAGCCCAAGTCGCTGAGGCGTGATTTCTTGTTGGCTTCTAAACTCTCTCTCTCTCTCTCTCTCTCTCTCTCTCTCTCTCTCTCTCTCTCTCTCTCTCTCTCTCTCTCTCTCTCTCTCTCTCTCTCTCTCTCTCTCTCTCTCTCCCTCTCTCTCTCTCTCTCTCTCTCTCTCTCTCTCTCTTCCTGTCCACAGCGACGGGCGTGAAGCAGACGCCATTCACAGCGTGCGGCAGCGGGAGCCGGAGGCGGCCGGTGTGTCCGCCCTCCGCACGTCCCACAGCAGCAGCGCCGCCTGCGTGCCGGCCGGTGATCTCGGTCAATCTCGCGGCGATCTCGGGGCGATCTCGGTCAATCTCGGCGCCGCCTGCGTGCCGGCCGCCACCAGCGGGCCGTCCGAGACACTCACACTCCACACCTCCTCCCGCCCGCCGCGCAGCTCCAGCGACGGCGCGGCACCGCCGCCGCCGCCGCCGCCGCAGTCCCACGCTCGGACCGCGCCGTCCGAGGAGGCTGAGAAGAGGAGACCGGCAGCGGCGGAGCGCGGCGGGGCAAAGGAGACCTCGTTGACGCGGTCCGCGTGCGCGGGCGCCGCCACCGTCCGCGTGCACTGCAGCGTCGCGCGGTCGTACAGCTTCAGCTCACGCTCGGAGCCGGCGACAGCGACCGCCGCAGCTGCGGCGGCGGGGCTTGCGAGGCCCATGATGTAGGAGGGGTCGTTGTCCGCCGAGCCCTTGAAGCTGTTGACCGCGGTGTGGGTCAGCCGAAAGGCGGGCGCGAGGGCGACGGGGCCCGAGGGGGCGGTTAAGGCCGCCGCCATTTCTTGTAAGAAGGACCTGATGTGCTTACGCGGCGAAGCAGACTGTCGTCGCCACAAAACAAATCTCCGGATCATTACTTTATGCGCTTCACTTCCTAGCATCCGTGAGGATACATTGGAGCGTACTAGGGTCCGTCTGGAGTCGTCGCGTGCCTCCACAAGGAAGAGCTACGCAGTACCTGACATCCCCTTGCTGGGGTCCTGCCACTAAAGGCGGTGGGTTGGGACTCGTACGGGAATGTACGTAAGAGCCACATACACTGAAAATCAGAAAGCGAATGAGGCACTATTTGTTGGTATGTTGTTAGTGATCAAGAAAGACACAAATTAAAAAAGCGTGGGGTCGGCAAAACAAACTTGGGGTCGGAGACAGAGGGGCGTGGACTGGGCATTTTCTTGTTTGTCGATGCCCGCACAGACGGTCATGGTTTTGCTTACTGGGGTCCTAGAGCCGACACCTTTCTCCCGTACTAACTAGATAGAGAACACGCCGTAAGCTCCCTTTTCTCCCGGCTCCCGTTGTGTACCACCCGTCACCTCTCCCGCGACTGCCATCGAGAAGAAGGAGACGGAGGGCGGCGCATCCGGAACTTGGAGGGCTCCCGCGGCGATCAACACCGCAACTCCTTTTCTAATTTCAACGCAAGGCGCACCTTTTTGTTTTGAAGACCTCGATACTTAGCGCACTGCTCGTCAAACACGTGCCGCGTCTCGTCTTCGCCGCCGGCTACGCGCACAGACACAGTACGCGGCAGCGCCGACACGTCAACCCGCGTGTACGTCAGCGACGGGTCCCGCACGCCGCACGAGGCGCATGCGTGCAGCGGCAGCGCGTGCGCCATGCGCTCGTCGCTCCACTCGCCCAGCAGCCGCCGCTTCGTCTCGTCGGAGACGTGCACGCAGCGCTGCAGCAGCGCCGCCGTCTCGTCCTCGGGCCGCTCCAGGTCCATGACGACGTTCGTCGAGGCGTGGAAGCGCGTCTCCAGGTCGATGGCCGCCTGCTCGGCCGCGGCGAGCTTGCCCTGGTCGACGCACATGCCGCACACCGCGTGCGCCGGGCAGCCGCACTGGCCGCGTTGTGGGCGCACGGTCTTGGCGACCGCCGGCGCTGCGCGCCGGTCGTGCTGCTCACGCTGCCGGCGGCGCTGGTCGCGCGCCTGCCGATCGCGCGTGTTCGCGGCGGCTGCATCTCCTGCTCGTTTCGCTCGCACCCGAGCGGCTGTCGCCAGGCGCTTCAGGTCGGCGGTGCTGCGCGCGCGGCCGTCGGCCAGGCACAGCCACATGTCCTCCTCCTCGGCAGGCTCGCACGGCTTGCCGTCGAACTGCGGCTGGCGCCCGCGACGATGCTTCGCCCAGGCCGGGCACGATGGTGCCGCGACGAGCGGAGGCGACGGCCATCGATGGGTCCAGAAGACTTGGAGACACTTCTCGACCAAAAATCGAGCACAATTGCGTTACATGGGCAGTGCCGGGGTTTCTGCACCGAACGATCTTAAGTGTTGATCGATAAACGCACAACCGCGCGAGGTGGCATCGAAAGAATACCAGGCGCTCCAGCGCAGAGAGAGAGGAGCAAGACGCAGAATTTCCAAAATCTCATTACATGGGCTTTCCTGCGAGCATAGAGCCGTGTGCGGTATCGATGTG